GAGTCTCCCTCAGGCAATCTCTTTGAGGCTCTATGACATTGCATTTGCAAGGCTGTTTTGTTCCATCCTTCACAAAGCTTTGGTTCTTTTCCCTAGATTTATGTGCTTCTACCATGGGTAAATGGGCTACGTAGTTTCCTTTTTGCATGTTTTTGTGATCATGGGTCTGCACAGGGTATTTTATTTTAATAAACCGACCGGAACCTCTATGCCGTTTTCTGTTTCTGACTTCCTGCCAGCTCAATCCGGTCAGCTTAACAATCAAAAACAGACCAGCTGCGTATTCTCCATGGAGCAGAATGGAGAATGGAGAATTATGGTGCTTTTGGTGGAATCACCAGCATCGTCTAGAACGGCAGCTGTCAACTGGAACGTGACACAGCCATATCCAGTAGAATCATTTCGGGCCTGACAGAAGTGATACAACCAAGCAAAAGAAAGTCTACTTATGTTTCTTAAGAAGGCTCTAACATAACGTTTAACTGCGGAGGCAAGGAACCACGACAGTGTTTACAACCTGTTTAGTGTAACACCATTGATGCCTTCGAGAAGAGAGTGTGCTAAAGTCTACGCTGTTATATTCATTTGTAAGATTCAATTGGTTTCACCCTTCTCTCTGGTGGCAGGCTTTTCACCCTGCCATCCAGCATTGTAATTTGGAATAGGTCTGTGCCACATGTAAACATTGTAGAAACAACTGAGAAATCCTGCAAAATGTTAATATGCTCGGTGTGAATCTTATTTAACTATGAGAATAAAAAGCCTAAATCAGGCAGCATTATGTTTTCTTCAAAATTATATTTTCTGATGCAAAATAGATTTATATGAATAGAATTCATAGAAGAAAATGCCAGCTCTCATCCCACTCTCTATTTCTCTCCATACCTCATACCCTTCTCAAAAGATATGCTCCATCTGAAGTAATCCTGCGACAAATGTACAGTAATTCATTCAAAGCCTCCAGCAGGACTACGTTTGAGCACTGGCCTGCCTGTCTGTTCTGTCTGTGGATATACTACAAGTTCCTTCCTCCTTAGGCTTGGCATCAAGTCCGTTAAGTCAAACGTCTCAAATCCAAGTCAAGTTATGAGTCACTGGTGATCGAGTTAAAGTCCAGGTACAAGTCCTCCAGTTAGAAGTTATTGAATTTTTGACTTGAGTATGGCTGTGGGAAACGCATGTAATTACTTGATTGACAGGTCATCTCTGAGAAGAAAGGAAGATACAGATAACAGAGAACATGGAGAAAATGCAGCTTAAATACAGTTACGACAGTTAAGACAGGGAATGTTGCAGTGTAGACATAAAACGAGGATCTGCTGGACTGCTTCGACCTGTTAAGTCCGTCTCATTCATAAGGCTGGCAGGCTGGACTCTGGACTCATTATAAACGATTAAGCTCATTTCCTGGATGATTGCAGCAGAGTCCTCGCACTGGGAGACCTGGCCTGAAAATACCACGACAACTGTAAAAACCTACTGTACCAGCCCTGATCAGCAACACACTGTGCTTTTCATACACACACTTCAGCTGCTTAGCATGCTTGGAAAAGCTGTGTTAACTGAGGACAGTCAATATGGTGAGCTGTGGTCCCTTACCAGACTTCACATGAGACCTGTCAATGACATCATGTATAGCAACAGGACAAATAATAACAACCTATAAAAGATTTAATGACCATGGAGGGAAGCTATATTGAATCACAGTGATGAAAGTGTCAAATGGTTACTTCAAGCTGGCCAAGAAGTGAATAACCTCCATCTTTCTTCTTGTTGAGGAGTGAGTTGAGTTGTTTTCAAGCTCTTGGTCTTAAGATATTTTGCCCACATGGTTTTTTGGCAATCTGGAAAGTGAAAGTCAGGAAAAACGTATTATATATATTTATGTAATGTATCAATTGGTGGAACAGCATGCTGCTACCAGGGTTGTGTTCTGTCTCTGTCTGGGTCTCTTTGGGTTAACCAATTTTTGAATCGGGTATACCTATCCTCGGGTTCGTTTGGATGGTGTCTGAATATCCTCAGGTCACTTTCACATCATTAAATTAAAAATGAATTCATGCATGTCAGGTTCAGGAAGGTTTTGCACAGGTCCATTTCAGATCAGCTCTCTGGAACCCATGAGGACCTCTAATGAAGACTTGGAAAAAGTCTTTTATTCTAGTTACTAGTTACTCTAATGTTGCTATAATAATTATTAATTATTATTATTATTATTAATGTTGCTCACAAGATATATCTAAAGCAGTGGTTCCAAACCTTTTTCCTATCATGAGTCTCTTTTTTTTTCAAAATGGCATTCATTTTAGGAGGTGTCCTGGTGGCCTAGGGTTTTATGAAGCAGATCATGTAATTGCAACTTCCATGGATTGAGTCAGGCCAGGGACTATTGTGCTCTGTCTAAGAAAGAGACAAAGCCCTCCAAAAACATAGAACAAAAGACTCTAATTTCAATATGTAGCAACCAAGCATACACCTACAACAATATATTCCTCCAAATCGTGAACATATGACATGAACTGTAATGCCAGCAATGCCATCCACGGCTGCTGAATACAACCGGATGCTGATTCAGCAAGCATCTGCTGCAAAGCCAACAGTGTCCCAGAGTACAGCAGCAGTTACATTAGTAAGACGTCTTACTGTGAGTTCATGGCTTCAGTAGCTAAGGCTGAATAACTTTCTATGTCAGACTTTCAGCTCACATATACAATGCATATGACAACATTGACCATCCAAGACTATACATTATCTTGACAAACACAATAATCGGTAGAGTGTTATTGCCTTTCATTTTCCTTCCAAATACTGACCATCATGAATGTTTGTCACATAGCCAGTTAAAAACCTCATTATAATATACTGCTGACTTGTTGTGGCTCATGCCAACAGCCATAATGTAGAAACAGATATAACATATTTTTTAAATTGGAGCTTATCTCATTTTTGAACGAAACTGTGTGTTGCTAATTTGAGACCATAATGTCAGCTTGGCTCCCAACACAGAGAGCTTTCACTCATTACTCTATTTGACGTGTGAGAAAAGACTTTAACATACACTCTCTGTCTGAGAGATGATGATTTTACTGTGCTGGAGTGGCAATGATGGACAGATGGGTTCGATTACAATGTGCTGCAAGGTTGATCTTGCAGCACATTGTAATGGAGCAACTTATATATATATATAAGTTGCAATGCCTTGGGCAAATTGATTCCACTGTCTTCGTCTCTGCCCATGGATTCCCTCACTGAAGAAAAATGTTATATATGTGTGTGTATAAAACTTAAATGTTTTAATATTAGACAAAGATAACCTTACAAAATGAAACCTGAGTAATATATACAAAATTCAGTTTTTAAATTATGATTTAATTAATGTTATGTTTGTGTTGTTGACAAAACTTATCCAAACCCATGTTCCCTATTGTCAAAAAGCATTACCCCTTGTTAAATCATGGAATTACCACGTGTTATTAAACCATTTTTTTGTGAAATGGCTTTGTTCCATTTCACTAGGCCACTGACTGGTCTAACCTTGTTTATCAATAAATCACCTAAATAGAACCTTGTCTGCAAAGGAAGTAGGGGCTAAAACGTGATCTCAAAAAGCAACACATCATGGCTTCATGTAGAAGAAATTCACAGACTCAGAGCACCCACACAACACCTGGGCGCCTACTAGCAGCCCGCCATGGCCCGCCAACAGGATTTACCACACAGTTGGTACTCCACAAGCTTTTCTCGGCCCGATGCACCAACCACATGACCCAACACACTTTGAACATTTAGTTAAACCTTCCCAGGTTTGCAGGCTACCAAAAGGTACTCAAATATTTGATCCAGGAGGATCACAAATAGAACCAGGGAACAACATAGAAGAATGCAGTGCCTCACTTTGCCTCATGTTAATTTCATGGTTCATCGATTCAAGGAATAAGAAAGACTCAAAAATTCATCATGAGATTTCTCTAGCTAAAGACCACTGGTGTGGTCTGGACAAAAAGGGGAACACAAATGCTTGTCTCACATTTTGCCAAAAAACATCTTGGATGATCCCAAAGGGGACTTGTTGGGGTGAAAAATTCTGTGGACTACATAAAATATTGAACTTTTTGGAAAGTTGGTGCATCCCGGTACATTTTTGGCGTAAAACTAACTCAGCATTTCAATAAAGGAAGAACATCATAACAACAGGTCAAACATTATAGTGTTGTCTGGGGGGGCTCTTTTGCTGGCTTTGGCTGCTTCCAGGACCTTTGACGACTTCGGGGGGTAATTGGACGGGAAACCATGAATTCTGCTCTCTATCAGAAAATCCTGAAGAGAATGGTCCAACCATCAGTTTGTTTGACCTCAAGATCCAACCACTTGGTTATGGCATGCAGGACAATGATCCGTAACAACCAGTTCCACCTCTGAAAATGGCTTAAAAAGACAAAATGAAGGTATCGGGGTGGCCTATAGGCCAAGTCCGGACTTAAAATCGAGTTGAGATGCTGTGGCATGACTAAAACAGGCCGTTCATGCTCGAAAACCATCCAATGGAGCTAATTAAATAACCAATTTGCAAAAAATAGTGGCCAAAATTCCTCCTCAGCGATTGAAAGAATGCATTGCCAGATATCTGCAAATGCTTGACTGCCTATTGTTTGCGTCATAGGGTGGCACTACAGTTATTTAGGTTTATGGGCAATACTTTTGCACATAGGCCAAGTGTGTTTGATACTTTTCCCTCATCATTTAAAAAATGTTTAATTGTTTTTTTGAAAAAGCTTTTTGTATTTATTCAGGTTATCTTTGTCTAATCTTAAAATTTGTTTAATGAACTGAAACATTTAAGTGTGACAAAAATGGAAGGCAGGCTCACACCAATAATTAAAGACTAGTGGGGAGGGGTACACACCCTGTGCTAATTGTCTGGATGTAATGTTTCCCAGCCTCATCTGCTGCGTCCTGTTTTTCAGGAAGTTTGTAATCCACTGACAGGGGGAGGCTCGCACAGTGACCTGGGTAGGTTTGGTGTGAAGGATGTCCAGGATGATTGTGTTGAACGAGCTGAAGTCCACAAACAGGGTCCTTGCATATGTTCGTTGAGAGTCAAGGTGTTGCAGGATGCAGTGCAGTCCTACGTTGACTGCATTATCCACTGACCTGTTTGCTCAGTAGGCAAACTGTAGGGGGTCCAGCAAGGGGCCTGTAATGTCCTTCAGGTGGGCCAGCACCAGTCTTTTAAAGGACTTCATGACTACAGATGTCAGGGCGACAAGCCTGTAGTCATTTAGTTCTGTGATGGAGGGTTTTTTGGGGACCAGGAAGATGGTGGAGCATTTGAACCAGACAGGAACTTTACACAACTCCAGTGATCTATTGAAGATCTGTGTGAAGATGGAGGCCAAAAATTCCACACAGATTTTCAGGCAGATCAAAGTATACATCAAATATATTTTTCACAAAGATGGTTTGTTTAAGCTGATGTTTGTTCAAGTGTTCATTTTTCTGATTAGTTTGGTTTTAATAAGTTATTTGAAGCTGTATGCCATGATTGACAACTGAGCTCTGCTCGTGAATTAGTTGGCCGAGCATATGGGTGGGACTTCGATATCGCAGCACCAACCCCAATCACTACTGCGCAGACTCTGGCTCGAAATGACGTCACCAGAGAAAGATAACAGCGGCCGTATCCGGCCTTCTAGATGAAAGTCCTGTGTTTGTTTGACCCATCCATCCACCCCAGAAGTCCATATGTGGACTTTGTTGCTTGTTATACATTACTATTACTATTCTTTACTTTATACTATTCATACGCCATTTGGTGATACCAGGCATTGCTATCTTATTAGTGATGCCATTTTTTCTAGTGATAGGCCTGCTAAAGCTGAGTGTGCTGAGTGTAGGCCTCTCTGGTGCCCTCTCTGCTCTGCTCTGCGTAGAAAGAAGAGCAGATCGCACTGGCAAGAAGTCAGAAGACATAGAGAATCTGTTCAATTTTCAAAATAAAATCTACTATACTGCATCCAGCCTCTGGAATTTCCTACTAGATCAACGCAGATCTGACCAGAGGCAAGACAAGAGTTAGTGGACAATTTAAAGTGGAGAAACACACTGTTTGTTTCCTTTTTAAGGACAAAATACACAAGTAAACAATAAGAAGCAGGCCACGCGATTTGAAGTGGCTCTGCTTCTAAAACACTCTTGGTGGGATTTGAAGACGCACAGATCAAGGAGCCAAACAAAGTTTGTACAACATGAACAAACAGCCCAATCTTTGTTAGTTACTTTGCCATCTTCGTAGTAGAACCCAACATATTTCCACAGAACTGTTATGATTGTCCACAAAGCATAGCTTTGCTTGCTAAAGTCTTCCATTTTCATGGCAAACAACAATAAGATTACTAGCTTCAGGTCAATAGAGCATGCAATATGTCAAATTGATAGTTGAGTGCCCTCTGCTGGATCACGGGCAAAAGGTCTGTTGTGCTTCAGCAGGTCATTCAGTCTGAATATTAACTACTTTCCATAAAATGTTCCAATTTTGAAAAAAAAAAAGTGAGAGCTCCGCCATCTATTGATCAACGCATCAATATACTGACTTCCTCTTGCAGGTTACTGAGCAGAATAGGGGTTTGCTTAGTTGCTTCCAGCTGTTTCGATGAAAGCACCAGGCTCATTACCTGGATGACAGGTGCCAAAGGAGCTCAGCACACGTGGACACACACATGAACAGTTACACAAGTACAGACACACACAGGCTCAAACAGACACACAGCTCTGTTCTAGTTCCTCAGCTGCAGCACTGCCAAAGGAAACAGCTAAGCTAGAGACTGACAGCTCTGGTCTACCTCATCATGCTCTTTGCAGCCAGGTATATGTGTGCACGTACACAGCAGATGCATATACATCATAAAAATTGTTTATGGATTCTTACAGACCCCATTAAATATTCACTGAGCTGCTGCCAGTAATAGAAATTGAGAAAAAACAGAAACAATTTTCTTGCCACTCTGACATATACATAACTCATAAATCAAACAGGCAATTAAGCAATTTACACAACACTGTAATTAATTTTCTGCTTCGTAATCAACATTTAATCCCTGGTTTGTTGCAGGGAAGCTCCTATAAGGAGTACACGCATAACCCAGGGTTCATATTTCCAAAGTGTAATTCTTTTGGAAAGACAGCCCTCGTCTTCACAGCAGGGTGAGGCTGACCACCGACTCCTTCAGCCTGGGCTCAAGGCAGAACTGAGGGCTGGGAAAGAGCACAGGGATTTGAGGTTTTATAAAATGAGGCATCTACCTGGATCTTCTCTGACTTCCTGATCCTGACTTCAGTTTATCATTGTCCCCTAGGGACATATCAAGTGTTATCCACATTGAGTATGACTTTGACTCTTAGATAAAGCACACAGGCTTGTAGGAGTGCCAGGGTGAAAAGCTCAATCAGACAGAATTCATTTCTCTGCAGCAGCTATGTGAAAGATTTAAAAGGAAATAAAGTGTAATACAATGCACACTAATCCGTGTATCATTCGTTCTTTTCATATTCAATTGACATTACAAATCGAAAATGAAAAAACGGTTTGTTATTTCTTATTCGTTTATGAAATCTGATACCAAAAACCAAATAACGGTTCACCTTTTTTGTACTTTCGATTATTGCTCATGATCAAAAAATAGGAAATGAATAACGCCACGGATGAATTTTGATTTTGATATTTATTATTATTATTGTCTTCTTCGTGTGTTGCACTTGGAAGCATTTCTTTACACATTGTACCTATTGTATAGTATACCTATTGGTGTATGGTTTATATATCTAGCGTTTTTGTATTGTATTACTATTTGTTACAATTTATCCATCATCATCATAATCTTCCATGAAGCATCAAACATCTTAAACTTATGTTCAGTACCGTTTATTTGTGCAAAATGCTGCTCCTATAGGAGAAGATCCATTAGCATGTGTACTTAACTGGGCTTCAATAGACCCTACAGAAACACTTCAGCAAGCACAATCAGCACACGCAGTAAACACATCAGCACAAGCACCAGCTCTGAGACAGACATGTTGTATTGTCAACGTGTAACAAAGGATACATCTAAACTCCCTTAAATGCATCCAAGTTTCCAAGAGTCTTTTTAGCCCCTCAAGGAAACACGTGTAAACTGTCATCTGATGATCACTAATACTAATAAGGGTGCACAGTTGCCACTGTCAGCACAGCATTTTTATCAAGTAAATGGTGAATTAGTTTCAGTGTCTTGTTCTTGGATACACCCACAGCCGCCCGTTCTGTATGTTGTTGAACATGTTCAAACTAATACTACAGGTCATGATTAGAATGTTTTAGAAGTTGTAGAAATGATTTATTAGCCCAAATGTTTTAGCGTAAATTATGTAAATATATCTCACATTAAACTATAGTTTCTAACAGACACACACGGATTTTCAGTTTAATGATTGACAATTAAAATCAAAGTCTCCTCCTCTCCGTGAATATATTATTCATGATACAGAATAAAGGTAAAAGGTTAAACCAACAGCTCCACTATTTTTAAATATGGTGACAACAAACAAAATCTAGAACATGGCAGTTCTGCCGTAATGAGTCCTCAAATGTGGAACTGAGTTAGCATTTTAGCTCTTCCAGTTCCCTCTCCTTGACGTCAGTGGGTTTTGGAATGGGTTTTTGGTTAGATGTCTGAAATAAGGTCTGTGGTTAACACAAGCTTAAAAGACCTTCACATTTTCTTCTACGTCAGTAAATACTCCTATTTGAAGCTTTTACAGGTCTTAAAAAAGGTGGTTGCTAACAAGTGTCTAAATGAGACTACAGAGGTTGTTGGTGACATTAAACACAAAGACTTATCTGCTCACTAGTCCGCCTTTACAGCCGCGTTGTGTTTATACTCGCACTCTAGGAAAATATTTTAACTCAAACTTTACAACTTGTAGATTTTAATTACAAAGTTGGAAGTTTAGTGGCAGTGACATTGAAGTCACACAACTGTGGTGTAATTTGTTCTTTTTATTGGAAGTCATAAAAGTGGTGTTCATTTGTGAATTTTATCTTGCTGAACAAAACATTTTTTAAAAAGTATCATAAACCTTTGTTTGCCACAGAGTTCATTTCTTGCAATCATCCAAAATCCAATGGAAAAAATCCCATTGGCTAGTTGTAGAAGGAACCAGGAACTTCTGGGTTGGTCTACAAAAATACAATACAGCACTCTATACATTTGAGATGGTTGTCTGACAGTTTTGGTATAAAACTGCAGTGATGCTATTATGTAGTATCAAAGCAGCCCAATCACAAATTTCCAATAAAGGGGTTTCAGCAGAAATAAGAGCAGTGGAAGGTCTTTCATGAAAGAAAGAAAGATATGCCAGTCAATCAAGGAATGATCAAATAAGGGAATTGGCAATGTACCCATGCAGTATCTCTACACTAAGCAGCCCCATTAACAAGGAAGAAGTTGGAGCAGCTAATTCTCCGCTGACAGCCAGGAGGAAGTGGCACAGTGAGCTGAAACAGTTTCTCAAGCTGAGAAACACTGAGAAAAGAAGAGGAGGTTTTGCTGGAAAAGACTGAGTATTATGAAGGCATCCAGGATTTATTATTAAAGGAACATATGATTTGTCCTATTCAAGACTACAAACTATAGCAACTATGGGAAAGATCCAACATGTAAATCTGCAAAGTTGGTCTTGCCTAAAGACGTTATGCTCAGGTACAGCCGAATATTGAAGGCTTTGAATGAAAAAGAATGAAGATAAAAAGGACAGGGATGAATTTATCAAATTCACTTTAAATATAAAGGTAAACGAGTAAAAAAAAAAAAAAAAGTTATTTGTGATTACGCCTATGCTAGGCTGGCTAGGATAAACTGGAGATTGGGGGATGTGAACTCAGTCTCAGCTGAGATATTGAGCCCAGCTGAACACTTGACTTGTTATTTTGTTCCAACATCTGTTTAGCTTGAAGCTTTGACTGTACTGTGTAAAGATGTGCTAGATTATGCATATTAAACAAAAAGAAAAGATACATTGAGCTAAAGGCTAAGGGTGAATAATGAGGCTGGAGAGCCAGAGTCTGCCCAGCAGAGGGAAGGGTGGCAGTGGAGTTTTTAGCAGCACTACTAGTTCTGCTTTGGGAGATTAAGATTTTGGGTCAGGCTTATGATAGGTTGTAAACACAGCTTCAAAAGCTAGAAGAAGTTCCAAGACAAAAGTTATACAAGCCACTAGAGGCAGAGGCAATTGTTGCTGAATTCAACAAAAATGCCATACTTCTCGAATATGAACTGCAACACTGTCAAAACAAATATCTGTAGATTTAATGGTGAAGATCTGTCAAACCATGACAGTAAAGACCATAAACTCTAAGTTTCTGTAACACCTAAAACACTGTGGTATGTCATGGCAAAACCAGAATTTATATGGCATTTTAAAGGAATTTATATGGAATAAAGTTGTTGTTTTTTTATTACAGTAAATTGCACCGTCATAGCATTCAAATGGTATTTTCAGATGTCAAAACTTTTTATTATCATGGTAAAAACTTTTATCCTACTAAATTATCGTTTTACTTCATTAGTAGAAAAAGTTCTATCTTATTTATTACAGTTAAGTTCTGGCAACCACAGCTGCCAGTTTATTACCATAAAAATAACATTCTTTACAGTGCAGTGGAGTAACTAAAGATGATATTTGGAACTAAAAAGAATTGAACTGTGATATAAAACACAGAAAAGCAGAGACATTTAAGAAACAAGAAAACAAACGTTACTGATAAACAACAACAACGATTAATTGATTACTTTCCTGTTCCGCTGCAGTTGTTCAGCTGTAAAGAGACTGTACTCACTTTAATGTGATTTAACTTCAACTGCAGAAGTCCTTAAACATAATCCAGCATTATAGTTAAATCTTGCTGTGATGAATTAAGTTGGACTGTTCCTTCTTGTATTTCATCACTGTGGGAAATGCTGCATATCAATGAGAAATAATCCACTAAAAAAGTTTTAGGAAATTATACTTTACCATTATATATTTACAGTGTAGTTCGCACCCTGCCCATGGACCTTTGTTATAGTTATTGCCCTTCTCATTCCCCTCATTTTAGCAGACATCTCTGTGCTGTCTGCTATAAAATAATGGCCCAAACATTTTTGTATAAAAAAAAAAAACACTAAGCAGGGGTGGAATTACCTAATTATATCACTATATCACTACAACAACAGAGTCATGTCATTATGGTAGTTAAATCTTATTGCCAGACAGACTGTTGATATTGGATCATTCTGCAAAACTCTGGATCATGTTCAATGACAACATTTTCACTGTTAATAATAATTCATTTTTTATACAATATCTGCTATGGTCAAAACAAACTGTGGGTAAGATAGGCAACTAAAACACTACTCAATAATTTATAAATGCTTTTTAATTCCTTGGAATTTTGAGCATCGTCTAGAATGGGCATGATCAGCTCCGGCAACCACTGCAGAGCCGGGAACACACAGGTACAACAACAACACAGAAGCACTCAACCACAGACAGACAGACAGACAGACAGACAGACAGATAGACTTTATCAATCCCCGAAGGGAAATTGGG